TCCAAAAGTTTATATTCTAATTTTACCAGGATTCGGTTTAATTTCACATATTATTATAAAAGAAAGAGGAAAAAAAGAAACATTTGGATCATTAGGTATAATCTATGCAATAATTGCAATTCGCTGTTTGTAGCGCTCTCGCGGGGGTTGCTCGCACTACGGGTAGCCCTTGTTCAGGCGCTACGCCGTACAAATGGCGCGCGCAAGGCGGCGCGTGCTTGTGTCGGTACAGCCGTACCGCCACAGGATCCCCTTGGTTGTAATAAAGCCTCATCCAAATTGAAATCTGACAGGTGGTTTTGATACTCGTCCTGCTTTCGTTATGACCTCGGTGTCTGCTTGTTTTATTTCTTCGGTTTTTTCTGCTGCGACTGGCTTCTCTTCACCCAAGGTGTATGCGAGCTTTAATCTGTCTATTGAAACGTTGACTGCTCTGCCATTGATTTTTAGTTTGTAGGTTTTTGGTCCTCTTTCTAACACTTCGAATGGCCCATCGTAAGGAGATTGTAATGCACTTGCTGCTGGTCCATGCCTCAAGAATACTCGTGTCTCCATTTCCTTAAAAATGAAAGGCTCCTTTTGTCCGTGTCATTTAACCACAAGTCGTAATTGCCTCATCTTTTGCCGTAAGTCGTTGATAAAGTCGTCCGTACTTCCTTCTCGTGTATCTGCTTGTTTCTGCAAAAATTGGCCTGGCAATCTGAATGTCTCTCCATAGATCATCTCTGCTGGTGTTGCATTGATATCTTCTTTCCACGCAGCTCTGATTCCCATCAATATAATCGGTAATGTTTCTGTCCATCCTCCCGATTCGTGACATTTGATGGCTGCTTTGAGTTGTCGATGTAGTCTCTCCACCATTCCATTTGCTGCTGGATGGTATGCAGTGGTACGGATATGTGTAGTGCCTGTCAATTGTGTTAGCTTCCGGAACAAGTCGGCCTCAAACTGCCTTCCTTGATCCGTTGTTACTCGTGCAGGTGCTCCGAACTTTGTTATCCAGCTTGTGAATAAATGTTTCGCTACTGTTTCTGCCGTAATGTCTTTTACAGGGACTGCTTCAGGCCACCTCGAGAATCTATCGATCATAGTTAAGCAATATTGATAACCTTTTGATGACGGAAGTCACCTACCGGACCTACCAGGTCTATGTGTATGTGTTCAAAACGTCTTGGAGGCTTCCCGAAAACACCTACTGGGGCTTTGTTATGCTTTGTAATTTATTTTGCTGACATGGTATGCATGTCCTGGCCCAAAGTCTACAATCTTGCTGTATTCTTGGCCATACGTGTCGCTGCATTACCATCTTCGCTGAGGTCCTGACTCCTGGATGTGCTAACCCATGGATGGAGTCGAATGCCTGTTTCCTTAGGTTTTTCGTCACAAAGGGTCTTGTTATTGTTGTTGACGTGTCGCAGTATACCGTTTGCTTAGTTCCCGGAATTGGTACTTTTGTCAATTTTAGTGATCCATTGCTCTGTAGTATTTCTTGCAGCTCTTCGTCTTCTTGTTGTTCTTTGGCGAGTGTTTCTAAGTTGATGGCTTGTTGTATCGCTTGGACTCGGGATATTGCGTCTGCTACAACATTGTCCTTTCCACTTACATGCCGAATATCTGCAGTAAATTGTGAGATGTATTCTAGATGTCTTGCTTGCCGAGGTGAGCTTCGTGTATGGTCCTGACTTAACGCGTATGTGAGTGGCTTGTGATCTGTGTACACGGTGAATTGTCGTCCTAATAAATGTCGATAGTGCTTGATTGCAGTGTAGACTGCTAACAGCTCTCTGTCGTACGGACTGTATTTGACTTGTGCGTTGTTTAGCTTCTTACTGAAAAAAGCTAAGGGTTGCCAGCCTTGTTTTACTCTTTGCTGTACAACCGCTCCTAATGCAACATCTGATGCGTCCGTGGTTACTGCGAGCTCTGCATCTGGATCTGGGTGCGCTAGAATTGTTGCTCTTGCTAAACTGTTCTTACAGTTCTCGAATGCTCCTTCTAGCTCAGGCGTTCATGCTACCGGTATTTTGCCTCTCGTCTTAGGATCTTTCAGTGCTCCATTTAACAGTGCTTGATCTTGTGCCGCTCCTAGTACGAACCTCCTATAAAAATTCAACATCCCCAGGAATTGGCGTAGTTGTTTGATAGTTGTTGGTTTCGGAAAGTTTTTAATAATTTCGACTTTCTCTGGCAATGGTTTAGTTCCCTCAGTTGACACCAGGTATCCTAAGAATCTGACCTGCTTCTTATCAAATGTACACTTGGCTGGATTTACCTTGACGCCATACTCGCTCAATCTCTTGAAAATCTGCTTTAAATGTTCTTTGTGATTTTCTTCCGTGTCTGAGGCTATGAGAATATCGTCTATGTAGGCGTAACAATATTCTAACTAGTGCTCGGAAAAAGAACCGGGTAACAAGAAAAATTGAGAACCGCCCGCCCGCCCGTCATTCGTTGCACACGGGTGAGAACCGATTCCTCGGGTGCCCGTATCACACGGGTACCCGTATCTCACACGGGTACCCGTATCACGCGGGTACCCGTATCATGCGAATACCCGTATCACACGGGTACTAATGCATATCATGCGGGTACTAATATAAAGTGAGTATTCGTATCATACGAATACTTACTTTATATTAGTACTCGCATCAGACGGCGAATGAATCGCATTAAATAATTAATTTAACCTATCCAAATAAAAACACTCAATAA